CCCCCCCCTCTCCCCTTCTCGTTCCCCTCCCTGTGCAAACACTACCGCATACCCGCGCAAACGCACGCACGCACGCACGCACACACGCAAAATCCTCAAAGACCTACCTACACCCTCGCACTCGGGTCGACCGCCCATTCTGATTAGCGGCAAATAATACCCGTAACAATAGCTACCGTTTTCCACCACAGCTTGTCCGACGTGTTCGTTTATACGTGTGCGTCATGCGTGTGTGCGCGCGCGTGACTCTCGACGTTGCGTTAGTGCGTGCGTAAAGACCTTTTCGCGCCGGGCCATGGTCGAAGGGTGGTCTGATGGCGCCCTTTGCATCAAAGCCCCGAAGACACGAGTCAGTCAATCCTTATCTACTTTCGATTCATCTCGCAGCCTCCCTCCCTTCGTCTTCATCTCTCTCCACTAGTTTTGTGTGTGTGTGTGTGTGTGTGTGTGTTCCCCTTGTGCCTTACGTCGACGGAATTTCGATGGTCTCCGAAACAGATTTATCGCGCCTCCTTCCGAGGCTTCCAGGACTCTTTCGATACCACCTCTTGGCTGCTCCCAGTATCGATCACGTGGCGAGCGGTGGCCAGCTTGAAATCGTCGTATCCAACGCTTGCGTTTTACCTCTTCTTTTTCTCCCCGTGTCTTCCTTTTACTTCCGCTTTGTATGAGCGTTGCGAGCTGCCGATATGTTGAATTCTTTATGAACACAGACGATTCATTCGCAGCGCGAAAATAGAGAAGAATAAGAGCTCGAAAAACCCTGTTCGAAGACTTTGGGTTTTGTCCGGTTGAATTCTTGACGCGTGAAAAGACACCTCGTTCGCAACAATGACAATAACGACGAGCACAATGACGATGATGTCGATAAAAGCGCCGACGATTTCTGTTCCTTTCGTCTGCTGCTCGTCGCCGTTCGTCGCCTGTGAACATTGCGTTATCTCGTTCCCGCTGTTGTTTAGCGTCGTTTCTTATCGTCGGCCGGAGCGACGAAAGTTATCGTTCGATCGCGACTACGGGCGAGGCGTCATCAAGAAATAAATGGCCGAGGCGAGCGAGGAGGTTAAGCTGCTTTTTCGCCGCTTAACCGCGCTCCTTCGTTATCCGAGTCTTGCCGAGACTTCCGAGACATTAAAGAGAAGCAACGTTTGGAGACAGGTCGACGGTTAAGCTCCGAGCTTACGGTTACGGTTAATAGCGGTGATTAACCCTTTGCGAAGCCAATCTTTAAGCGTGGATAAAAAATCACGCGAGATTAGCGAAGGATATTGGAAACTTCTCGAAAGGACGATACGATGTCGTCGGGCTTAGCGAGAAGATATCGTTTTATTAAGAAGAGCTCGAAAAGTGCAAAGTTGCTACAAATATTATGAATATATCTATTGAATTCTTTCGCTTTTAATAATCGTTGATAAAGCGCCGTAAAAAATGTGCTTTTTATACGCTATTAAATTTTATTACCTTTTGTGGTTTAAATTACATTTTCATTAATGTTGCTTGCGTTTGTTATCTCAGCCTACTTAACAATCAAATAATAATGTTGAAACAAAAGATGTTTCGTACATAATATCTCGTACAAATATTTCTGTTGTGAAAGTTCAATTTCGCAATTAGCGTTAGATGTAACTTTGTTTGAATACGAAAAGCTTCGTCTTCCGAAAAATCGTGTTATTGTGTACAAAATAGAAATTAATCGAGTAATTTTTCGAAACTTAAACACGGGAATATATTTTTCTTCAATCTTGCGATGTACTTCGAAATTATGATGAACTTCCTTATTAGTTTCACCTCGAATCGTTTATCGTTAAGTCAGCCCCATCGACCCGAATACATTCGATCCTTCGTTATCGCTCGTGGATCTCGGGTCCCAGTCAGCGGAAACCACCTAATCCTCCGGAAAGCCCTCGTGAAAAAGCCTCGATCTGCAATCCTTCGTCCCGTCCCGCGTTCCGTGCGCGATCGGGCAACAGAGCGGAAAGCCTTCGCCGCAACCGGAAGTCGGGACGGTCGGGACGGTCTCGGCCGGCTGAGAGAGAGAGAGAGAGAGAGGGGCGGAGGGGCTTCTTTTTCAGAAGGAGAATAATGACTCGAATTACGGTCATTTTCTGTGCGACCGCACAGGTGTCCGATTGTGCGCGCGACGGGAATCGGCCGACAACGCAGACATACACACACACACACACACACACACACACACACGTTGCATCGCGGTGGCTAGCCAGTCACCACCGTCGCCACCACTACCGCCGCCACCATCGCCGCCGTACACGTGTCACCTGCACTTCCACTGCACGTCAGTAGCCAGCATTGCGGATATAGTAAAACTCACGCCGCGAGCTGACGAGGTGCACGACCGCGTTAAACGTGCGGCGGTGCATTTGAAGAGTCGGATTTAAAAGCAGCTCGAGTGTCGGCGAGCGAACGGCCGAATGTTTGAACGCTCGAAAATTTAATTGAATACATTTTAATGTGTACCGCACTGGTCCTGATTGTAAGCTACTTAATATTTTAGAGATATTTTACATTTTGTTCGTGAATTATGTTACCGCAACGCTCGATTACCTAATGATAACGTGAGTATTGAATATGTGTGTGTGGGGGGCAGAAGAAAATGATACCTACGTAGTTGTTCAAAATTATCAGTTGCAATATTTTTCAAAGTTGAAACTTGGAATACTACTTGTATTGTGACATCAGCGTAACTTGCAGTAGTATGCACTCTGATCGTTCTTCGAATTACACACACACACACACACACGCGCGCGCGCGCGCGCGCGTATCTGTACTAATAACATTATTTAAACTTTAACTCCCTCTGCAATCTGGGTCCTTTTTAGCACAAGCTGAATTTTACTCTCCAATTTTCACTCTTATTTTTATTCAAATTCAATTCTTATTATCCCTTTTGTACCTCCGTGACGTACATATTCCATCTACGAAAAAAATTATAACTTTTAAACAAGTAATCCTGTCGATTTTTACCTTGACTTGTTTCAAAATAGAAGGTTCGTGTAAAAGTAAGTACAGAGGATAAGTCGAAAAGTTATCCTGAATTTTTTAAAAATCTAGAACAATAAAGAAACTTGGGCTGAACAAGAAAGGCTTACGATTAGATCGCAAACGAAGAGTTAACTTTACAGTAGCAAATCCATACATGTTTTATTAATTTTTTTTATGCGTCTGATTTTCCCGTCTTTAATTATCACATGTTTCCAATTTTATTGTATACTCCTTCATGCTTTTTTTTTGTCGAATTCTTGTTTCTCGTTATCTCGAATTCAGAGTCCGGTGCCCGGACCAACATTTAATTGAACTTCTCGATTTCCCCGTTATGTGAAAAGCCTGTTCTTCTGGCCTGGCGCCGTCTGGAATATCGAGGTCGCTCCGTATATCATGGCCGGAAAAATCGCCATTGACATTCGATCGTAACAGCCAACTACTGACCGAGTTCTCTATCTCAAACACGACGCGAAACACGACGCTCGTTCGGAGTGACGAAGTAAGGCGTGCAAACGCATCGGCAAAACTGATCGATATATAAGAAGGTATTCCAAGACTTTTAGGAATCTCTTGATTTTGTTATAAATTCTGTAACGAATTTTACGTTCGTTTTTCCTCGGGCAAGATTTCGTAGAGAATTTAATACTTGAGATGAAATACTTTAGTAATTAAACACCCATTAATCAACGCGTTAAGCGCGATGTCTACACTCGGTTTGCATTCTCCGTTATTCGCTGACTGTCGAAAGTAAACCACTGTCGAAAGTAAACTATTGAGTTTGCCTTCACTTTGGCAACGTTCTTCCAGGAAAGCAGATGAGGATTCGGTGGTTTAGCTTCGAGGGTCAGCGAATGCCAGAGATTTGAAATGGTCTCAATGCGAGCGCATCGCGTTCACGTGTTGATCAACGGATGAAAGCGGTGGTTGAAACTTTGTTTTATTTATCTAAATAGC